ATATTTTTACGTGTGAAAATATCATTTGTTGTAAAACGCATTGCCACGGACGTTTTATTGTTTTTCACTGAATTTTGTTTATATAATAAACAGAAAAATACATGGGTGCTTGGAAATACCAGATTAATTTCTCGTATTGAACACGATATCTCACTCGTTCGCTGCGCTCACTCGTGAGATATCATGTTCAACGCTCGAAATAAATCTGGTATTTCCGCGCACCCATGTATTATTTTCTATATAGCGCACGCATGGTTAGGATTATGATTATTTTCCGAAATAATTCCTATTAAATTAATTTGTTTCTACGTTGGTATGTGCAGTCAACCTGAGCAAGAGAATGGGCTGTCTGTTCAGTGGTATTAGAGAACTTTTATTGAAGTTTTATGCGGTTTTCTAATAATTAGTGTAAATTTCTAGTTATAATTTATGTGTGGGGTTTGCCTTGTTGGGACTTCGACTCCGTTCGCCGATCCCATATCTAACTCGCCTTTGTTTGTTGTAATGTCTTTTGTTTCATTCTCACACAGCATTTCGCGAGTTTGCAAGGGTGGGTTGTAGCGAAGTAGTTGTAGTTCGCTATAGTAGCGAACTACAATTTTCAAGTAGCCAGTAGTTTTTGACTACTTTTTTAAAACAGTAGTTGCAATTATAGCGAACTACATTTTGCCTAAAAGTAGCCAAGTAGTTGACTACTTTTCAAACAGCGAATCGCTATTCGCTACTTTTTAAAATTGTTAGCAACCGTTCATAGAATATAATGATATTAAGACACGGTTTGCTTAAAAGATTATTTTATACAGTAAAGATTATTTTAGCGCATTGAAAAGTGGCACTCCTGAACACTGTATAGTGCTTACAAAAATGTTGCTTTGACCCTTTTGTTTACTGTTGCTACCCGTAAGTCGATTTGTTATAGGTTAAATTACAGCCTGAGCCCAAATACCGCAAAACTAAAAAATATAGAGTAGCGAAATAGCGAAATAGTTCGCTACATTTTTTAAGCAGTAGCTGTAGTCAATAGTGAACTACTTTTGTTCAAAAGTAGCAGTAGTTGTAGCTGACTACATATTTTTGAAGTAGCTGTAGTTATAGCGAACTACAAAAATTTTGTAGTCAACCCAATTGCACCCTTGGAGTTTGATTAAAGCTTTCTATTATTATTATTACTTCATTAAGGTCTAGTCATAGAAAAATTGTTTAGTTCCGGTTTCATCCCTAAAAAAAGGGCCTAATGACAGTAATGTATGAGTTATGCATAACCTTACCTTGGACTTGGTAGGGAGAATTTCGTTTCCCTTTATGTCTTTGGTGAGTTCTGTCCTGTTGTCGTGGCTTCACGTGTCCCTTCAAAGCAGCCTGCACCAGACCTGTGGCACGACTTGATGTTGGTGATGTAAGATGAACCTTTGATGGTGGATGTCGTGCTTGTGACCGACTACTGCTTGGTGACGAGATTGCGTCAAGTTTGCTGGTAAAAATAAGATGAATAATATGTCAGGAGAGATCACAACAGAGTTCTGAAATTCCAAATCCCATCCTTAAAGTGCGACTAACCACAAATATAATCTTTAAAATTGAATTTCTTAAAGAGAATACATGGTACTGTACTACGTCAGAAATAATAGATATATGTTATTTACCGGCTGGGAGGTCCGGATAGAAAAATATTTTGTCGAGGTCTCAAAAACGGCCCGAGGCCGAAGGACGTTTTTGAGACCGAGACAAAATATTTTTCTATCCGGACCGACCTAAACGGTAAATAACGTATTTATTTTTTTGTCGAAGACTCAGAGGCAAATGGCAACGGTTTTATTAGATTGCGCATATAGAAAACAAAACAATAAATTTGTTTTGATATTTAGTTATTTTACTTTAGAAAACAAACAATTCAATTAAAATACAGTACAATTATTTTATCCATCATTAAAATTATTTCAAAATTACATATTCATATTTTTCAGTTTTAAAACAAACCGTTTCATACAAAAAATTTTTGCTTTGCTTCGGCCATTACGTATAGGATTCCTGACCGTGGTCAAATATGGTAAAATTCCGCCCGCTGCTGCAGCCAATCAGATTGCAGAAAACGCTAGGATTCCGCCCGCTGCTGATTTACAAAAAAATAAATATCTATTATTTCTCCGCTATATGTACATACCATATTTATGCTTTGTAAAACTGTTATGCTTGTATTCTAAAAGCTCAGTCACACTCAAAGAGTGGAGGTTCAATCTGAGCTTCCCTTGATCGAGTGTCAATGTTGTTTTTGAATAGCTGAAGGGTTAGTGTTGTAACTTATTCTGTGACTACAGTATACTAACCCTCCAGCTATTCAAAAACAGCACTGACACTCAAGAGAAGCTCACACAGGGTTCGTAGTCTCCAAGACCAAAAAATTTCAAAGACTTTCAATTTGAAAGATTTTTTCTGCCTATTGTCAAAGACTTTTCAAAGACCTTTGAAAAAATCTTGCTTCAATCAATCTATTTTATTAGCTAGGAAATCGTATAATCAAATAATCACTGAAGAATTTAAAGACTTTTAAAGACTTTCTTCGCTTTTTCACACATTTCAAACTAAGACTTTTCAAAGACCTTAAAGACCTGCATTCAAATTTAAAGACTTTCAAGGATTTCAAAAACCGCTACGACCCCTGTCACATTAAAC